GTGGATTCCAACCTACAGGAACGAAGCAACAACCTCTTCAACAACCATCATCAAATTGAATTGCCCTTGAGGCATGCAAACACCGCACCGATCAAGCAAATAGCAACAGGTGAAACAAAAAATATGCTTCGATCTACACCCTTACGCCTAAATGACATGGCCAATGCCTGCGCTGCTTAAACCCAGAAAATATATAGTCCTTGGATTTGCAACAGAAGTGCAACTGATCGGAAGTGAAGAGGCGTATGACTCCAAGACGGACAAGCACCAAAAAACTCGACAACTAGGCGATACCCCAAAAGCACATGCCAGTTTGAAGAGTTTGCAGGCTGTTTTCTTCTTTTGTTTATATGTTTTTTTATTGAAGACTGGACAGTTCCAAAGACCCCTGGTAGGTGGGAGCTTGGCCGGCAGTGCCGGACTCCTTTGGGGATGTGCTGCCGGAGTAGCGAAGAATAACAACCATCAGAACTTTTTCTACCGACCCTTCCCCCCCTCCCATTCTTCTCCTCTTCCTCTGCCTTTTCCTCTTCATCTTCCTTTGAGTTAATGTATATGTGTGTCTTGGTGTGTGTGTGTGTGAGTTGCGGTGTGTATGTTGTTGCGTGTGAGTTGGTGCGTGTAAGTTGGTGTGTGAGGGAGGGGCGGAAGGAGGAGAAGGAGGAGGACCAGGATGACGCAGCAAAAAAGTAAGAGCCCCACACTAGCATGTGGGGAACAAGGAACGCTATAAGACATCTGCCAGGTATTGTTATTAGATGGATAGCCATCCGGCGTGGAACTGGACGGAAAAGAAATTCAATAAATGACCTGCACAAGAAAACATGTTCAATCAATGAGAGAACACAGGAAAGTCTATTGTACTATTTTGACCTGTATTGCTTTTGGATGGGGTTTATCAAGCTTTGAAACGTTCTCGGTGGGTGAAACCTCGGCATGGATATCTCTTTACTTGGTAAGCTGTATGTGTCTTCTTTGTGTTGCTTCTTCTCTCTCTCTCTCTCTCTTTCTCTTTTTTCTTTTGATTCTGTTGTCGACGTCCTTTGGCTTTTATCTTGGAAGCATCGGGAAGCAAGGGCCCACGCCCTGTGTCTTTTCTTAGTGCAGTGAATGGCGATCATTGAGATACAAAAGACACATGGCGTCTCATTGTTCACCCACCAATGGTTGAGTTTGAGCTGGGATTGGACTGTCATGAGACAGGCGTAGCATTACGCCGCTGGTGAATTGATGCTGTGACTGTCATTGAAGAGCTCTCGAACATGTTTTCACCATAGCGTAGCGAAGGGCTCTTGGATCTGTAGTATGCTTTAACTTTTGATCCTTTGATGTCACTTTTCCTTATCTCACTGAAAGGCGGAAGTTTCACACGTGTCAGATTGTTCACTCGCCAGGGAGGTGGGACGTGAGCTGCAGGGTATTGAGGTCCTTGTATCTTGATGCTGCGACAAAGACCCAAGGCTACAGCAGAAAAGCTAATACGAAGCGATGTGGTACTTGCTCTTGATCGCAGTGACCTCCGTGAATACTAAGTGCAACAGGCTCTTGCTCGCAATGAGATCGGTAATAGTGATTTTTCTTGTGGGCGGACACTGGATCGGAAAGGGTTTGTTCGAAAATACCTCTGTTGTTTTGCGTTTGGTGAGTGGTTTGTAAATTTGGGCATTTGCCCCATAGATTGGGGGGTCAAAACAATATGCGTAAACAATGTATGTTAATTGCTTTGAAGGTAAGATTTGAAGTTAAGTTAATTGCTTTAGGAACCAAATCATTAGTGCGAGGGCCACTGGCTAAAAAGAAATGCGTTTTTTGAGTGACCGGGGAGTGTGATGGACTGTCGATACCCTGGCGACCGGGTAGAAGTCGTCGGTTAGAACATTATCGACATGTGGGGAATCCAGTAGCAATGGCCTCCAACCTAATAGCAATCGCCTCCAACCTAATAGCTGGTCTCCAACCTAATAGCGGCGGCCTAAACCTAATGGCGATGGCCTCCAACCGAATAGCGATGGCGTCCAACCTAGTGGCGATGGCCTCCAATCGAATAGCAATGGCCTCGAACCTAATAGCGGTGGCGTCCAACCTAATGGCGATGGCCTCCAAACTAATAGCGATAGGCCAAACTTGAGGATGCAGTCAAAGTCAGGATCAACTTCTTCATCCTCTTTGTCTTCGAAAGGAGCCATCGCTAGTAGGTTGGAGGCCATCGCTAGTAGGTTGGAGGCCATTGCTATTAGGCTCCCTCTCTCTCTGATCACGGGGTGCTTGCAGTCTTGTTTGGGGGTTCATGCGGTTTGCTGGGTTTGTAGGTTTGTAGAGTTCGGGTGCTTAATTTCTGCTCACGTCTTTCTCTCTCCTTGTCGTTTGCTCCGCTTTCTTCGATTTGGTGTTCTCGCTTGCGTTTCTGTGCCCAAGGTTTCCATCTCGGATTGCCTTTTTTTCTGGTGTCTACTAGGCGCATACCAGTTCCTAATGGTTCGTGCATGTTCATGCTGAGGCTTGGGAAGAAGGGGGGTATCCCCTCAGCTCCCTAAATCATCTTTTTCTCCTCGTGGTTCCGCATGATGCCCAGCACGGCTATGCACGCGTCCATCCGCCGCCACTCAGGCCGCTCCAAAGAGCACCAGCGTGGCCACCAGACCGGCGAAGATTGTCTGTGCTGCAGCACCACTGCAAACCTGCACCAGCTCCTGGAGAGAAGTGGAGCAAAGCGCAAGATTGGTAGAATGAACACTCTGGAGATCACTTGTTCCCCTCAGTGCATAGGAGATAAGATACCGCTTGTATGAACTGGAATTGCTCCAGTTCAGTATCAATAGTCATGTCAGTGGCTGCTGATCCACATCAACTGCTGACATTCAACGCACCTAAACAACTCTGAGATGGTAACACCAAACTCTCTGTGGTGACTGTTAGCCTCTCTTTGCCTCTTTTGGCTCAAACCCAAAACGAGGGTACCAGGGGCCTGGACAGCAGAGCACAGCTCCGCTTCACTCCTGACCGAGGCATTGCTCACCTGTCCAGGCGCACTTCTCCAGCTTGGTGCAGTTGCCTTCAGCCTGAAATCGAGACGTCAGTGACGTCAGACAAGTGATAACATGTGTTTAAGGGATGTCTCATCCAGTCAAGATACCTTCTGGTTCACGCAAGCCTCATCGTTGCCCTTGGTGTACCTGAATGGACAGTGAACATCCAGTCTATTGTCTTAATATAGCACCCGCAAAACCTCTGGTTCTAAGACCTACTCGTGAAACCAACTACTTGAGCTCCTTAAACAAAGCGGACGTCAAGGGTAGCAAAATGACGCTTTTCTTATCGTCCAAGCCCAAAAAGGTACGTAATGTGCTTGTAACTCCAAGTCAAGTACTGCTGGTGCCAGTTCAACTCGTCATGGCCACATTGTGCTGCGAGAGCAATCGGAACTTCCAACTACATGTTTTCAGGGTCACCTTCAGCACAAATCACAGTCTTCCACAATTGCAGGTCATTTCATCAAGGTACCCAAATGAAGGCACACCCTGTGCCAACTGTGATAGCAACATAAGATCAATTTTCACTTACTACCTTGTTCAATACTGGGGGGCTTCCCTGACCAAGCGCCACGATACTCATCTTCCATCCCACAGGCTGCATAGGAGAAGTAGATGGGCTTCCTCAGGTGACGAGCCCACACTGCACAGCCGGTTTTTGGGGTAGGGTCTGAATGGAGTGATTGTCCGATCCACAAAATCCTAAGGAAAAACGGCCAAGGTTTGCTCATTAGGTGTTGGAAGAGGACTCGCGGAGGATCCTGACAAAATACTCGAGCCCAGAATCAACAAAAGGTCACAATAGACCGGAGGCCATCGCTACTAGACTAATGTGGCCTATGTGCTGTGCTCTTTGATGTGCTTTCTATCAAAGGCAAAGTGCGGGTTAGAAAGCTGGGTCGCGTCTTCATTTTGAAGTGGGATCCTCAGCCCTCCGTCTTCCTTTAATATGGTTGGGTACATCCTTTGTTGGCTCAACGATGGCGCTCCTCGTCGCTAGGATTCCCAATTCAATCATGGAATGACACGCATCTTTCTATTCAGCCTGCTCAAGCTTTTTCAAGTGTTCAGCCCAATCAATTAGCCCAACAGGATAACTCTTTGCATGTTCATTGATGCTCAACTGACTTTCTTCAACCACCTTTTCTTCCAGCATCCTTGAAACCATGTCCTTCCCGATATCCGCCGACCCACCCCGTCCACCCCTGCTCACTCATCGACAGCAATATGAGGCGCCCGTTGGCTTTGCCCGAGGGCAAGTAGGAGGAGGTCTTGGGAGGCACGGCCAACTGACATTCGCAAGGGTCCACATAGCACCAGGCCTGTCGGTGGTCAACATCATGTCGCAGCCAACGCCAAAACCAAATGTTGGAAAGACTGGAAAAAAACACAATGAGGGGCCAGGGGTGATTGACCATGGGGAAGGTTCATGACATTTTCTAGGATGCTATAGGATGCTAGAGGAAACAACTGACAAGCGTAGGAAGCCACTGACAAAAGGAACAGTGCCACTTCAGGCATGATGAGGCAATGAGGCCTTTATTTCTTCTCTTGACGTTTCGAAAGTAGTGGGTTTACATGAGCTTGGGGACTGATCCAAGTGCACTTGCCGCGCCACTTTCCAAGTCTTCAACTATTGTTCATTCATTCATGCATGCGTTCATTCATTCATTCATTCATTCATTCATGTATTATTTATGTCTTTCTTTCGTTCTTTCTTTATTTCTTTCATTAATTAATTAGTTCTTTCATTAATTTGTTCGTTCTTTCTTTCTTTCTTTCCTTTCCTTTCCTTTCCTTCCCTTCCCTTTCCTTTCCTTTCCTTTCCTTTCCTTCATTCATTCAATCAATGACTGCTTGAATGGTATCTGCAGGAGTTACTGTACAATCAGCCACCCTGAGAAAGTTCACGGAGATCTTCCCATCATTAAGAACTTCTGCCACTTCAACAACTCCTGAGCAAAACCTTGCCTTTGAACACCAGGCTGCTGCCTTGGACCCCTGGCAATCCTGGGCACTATGCGAAGTCACATGCTGGTTGGTGGCTGCTCTTTCAGAGTGAACAGCTCCAGTTCAAACACCCAAATTGAGATATCTCAGCCATCTTCTCCTTCACACCTTTGAATGTTTCTTCTTCATCATTTGTCCATATTTTTCTACTCCAATTAGTTGCAAGTTGTTCCTTCCCATGCTGATGGTCGTTCCTATCGCGATGTTTCACTAGCATGGGCCCCTGGCCAGAACTATAGATGTGAGTGACATGCAAGCATGCCCTGGCCGTGTACTGAAATGTAAGGAATGTTGAGGAAACCACACCCCTGAATCAACACCAGCGCAATCCATTAACATGTCTCAACACGCATACACACGCTTTCACGCCTGAAACTAACAAAGGTGCGAACAGAAAGGACCCCTTGCAGAACGATCCTTTTCTGCGCCAGAGTGTGTTTGCACGTCCACCTTTGATGGCCACCTTCCACGCCGAGGCTCAGGATGGCGCTTGGCGTCCCAAGCGTCGCAGCTGCCACCCGTCTCCGCCGGGTAGGGGATCTCCTGTTTTCAGTCGCAGGCGTCGCAGGCGTCCATCGGTCAGAGGATCAGAATCATTGAATGAAGATGGACGGTGTGTGGATCAGCGATGCCACATCTGGATATAGAATTCGGCAGTTGTGGATACTGGAGTCGACAAAATGTCGAATCGAGCCTGTAGTGGTTCTAGTCTATTGAACAGGTCGACTCGGGGCGGTCTAGTGGTCCTTCTTTCACATGGAAATCCTGTTTTGGGCAAATTGAAGATGTTACCTTTCATAGCATCAAGCTACTTCAAAGCCACTTCAGCTGTTTGAGTCGAGCATAGGCAGCATAAGCAGCACTGAGCAGAACCTGCGAGACATTTGAGAAGGTTGGCTTAAGGCGCCTCCAAAGGCTGTTTTCCATACAGTATCCACCCAGCCCTTCAAAACATTACAATGACCCAAGTTGAGCACTTAAGGGGCCTTAGCAATCAAAGTGCCTGGGGATGTTCATCTGAAGAATCTTGGTGTTTGGTGTTGACATCTGATTGACATAACACACACACAGAGACTTCTGCCGATTTGTTTGCTGTATGATGGAGAGAAAGCTCCCGTCCAAGGTCTTCACAAAACCGCTCAACCGCACTCACTGACTCCTAGGTTGGAGGCCATCGCTAGTAGGTTGGAGGCCATGCCTAGTAGGTTACTCACCGACCACGTTTCGTCGCTCCGAGCCATTGATGGTGACGTTCGCCGAGCCAGGTGCGCCGTCGTAGCCGATGCAGCGGCACTTCTCATCGCCCCACTTCCTCGGTTTGAGTCTTTGAGCAACCCATACTAGTAGGGCGTGGATTGGTGGATTCGATTGGATTCGTGAAATACGTACCCAATGATTGCATGTCGCCCTTGGAATTGCTCTGGCACTCAGAACGAACCCTGACCTAATGGTGAATGCCCATTTGGGCAAAAGCTTTGCCATAAGCTAGCTGTGATATGCGGTGATCAACTTCTGTGACCTGCAATTTCATCAAACACACATCACTAAACGCCAAGGAACTTCTCGTCCACGGTCTTATTACACTTCTTTGGGACAGCCTCCAACGGTCGGAGGCAGGTGACAGGAAACATGGTGGTTTTGTAAGTGTGCTGGCAAAATCATCGGAAGCATTATGGTTTATATAGACAAAACTGTTATTAGCAAGTTGAGCAAGGTTGCCAACCAATTGGCGTTGTCCAACATCAGAAACAATGCTGAATGGGACAAGCCTCCACACATTTGGAAGATCAAAGTTGATTGCATCATTTCTCACTTCAGTTGTCTTCGGGATGGACCAGCGCATTTCTCTGGAATAATGAGTCGTAGACTGGACCAGCAAAACGTCCGGATGTTGGCATTGCCTGAAGCTCCTTCTTCTTCTCGGCAGTCATCCAATAGTCCTTGCCACCACAGGTCTGGTAGGAGTACCACATCCCGCGTCCTGCAGAAGAATGCATTCACTAGTGGAAAGTTTCAACAGGAAAAAAACAAACCATGTGCATTCTTTTCTCTCTGGAGAAACTCGAGCATCATGATAGAACACAACAGAAAAGCAACTTGTATCTCGAAAGGAGCGACCAAGCAAGCTAGCAAACAGGCAAGAAAGCGAGCAACTAACCGACAAACCGCAACCAAAACCAACCAACCATTTGCCCATCCTTGATAGCTGGCATGTGGCATGTAGCCGCTATCATCAGGAACCTGCAGTGCAAATGAGTGCACAGCCCACAGCGGAAGGGTGGATGATGCGCAGGCAGTCAGGCTGCGAGGCAACGCATGCAGTCAGAGATTCTAATTTTGGGCAGTAACAAGAAGCTACTAGTAACAAGTGCATCGCTACTAGTAACAAGTGCCTTACTAGTAGTAACAAGAAGCTATTGGAAACAAGTGCCACGTTACTAGGAACAAGTGCCTTACTAGTAGTAACAAGAAGTCAACACAAGCAGTGCAGGACTTGTAGAGTAAAGAGAGGCGCGGTTGACCCAAAGGATATTCAGAATTCATCGGAACAACCACAAATGAACAGCTCTTTGGAACTGGAGCGATTCTTTCAGCGGAATCCTGGAATCAAACCGCTCGTTTCTGAGGTTTGAGAAACAATGAGAAACACTATGGAGTACAGTGAGATGTGAAGCAAACTTGGAACTCTTGAAGCACGGCAACTTGAAACCCTTGTTAAACACATGTGAAACACATCCGAACTATAGGCACCCCCCCGGTGGCATGGTTTTGTGGCGCCAACCCCTAAGGCTTGAGGCCTGTGATCCTCCAGAGACGTCAGGACAAATCGGATCGTCTGAAAGAGAACTCCCAAAATCTTTGAAGCACCATGCACAAAGCATGCACCACTACCTGAAGCCTGAACCCTGAACATCTAGCAACTACCTGACCCACTCCCTTCGTTGGAGAACGATCATCGACGGATTGCGGAGTTCGCCTTCGTCGCCGGCTCCTCCAGGTCGCAGTTGCCTCAGTCGCGACGTTGCACGACAGCCGGTCGTCGATGCCACGTGGAACGGGAAGGAATCAGCGTCGAGTTTGTGTGTTCTTTAAAATAGACTTCACTCCAGGCGTTCATTCCGACTTGTTATGCAGTTATGCATGTATTATGTCAAAAAGGCGGCAAATGTTTACGTTGTCTTTGCTCCAAACTCGCAAGGCAAATGCAACAAATTTAAAGTGAAAGTATGCGCACCCCATCTTACTCCTCTTTTTTCGGACCACTGTTACAGGATCATGAGGATGCATTTGATTTTCACTTTCTTTTGGGAGAACAGCTCATGACCGTACTTAAATTAATGCAGTTTTTACTCGTAGATTGTCTGGTGTCATGGTGAGAGCGTGATGTGTTCTTAATTTGTCTTAGTTCCAAGTTACAGTGCACTCCGGAACAGGAACGAATTGCTGATCAGCAAGCCACATGTTGATCATGGATCATATGGTGAACTTGGGGTGCATCACATTCTACACTACACCAATGTTGGCCTTTGGGATCAGATTAATTTCTGATCCCAACAAATGAACCCACATACGTCGATGAAATCAAAGATGCAGGGATCCACGTAGCACCATTGCTCTGCGCACCAGCCCTTGTCCTGCGCACGGCTCAACTTCAGGCCAGGTTTAACAGGTTTCAACGCGTTTCTCCCTCAAGTGCACCTTCATAAAACTTGCGTTGACACTGAGCCTTTTCCGGAACTGGTCGCTTGAACATATTCCAAACAGAAACCAAACCTGGCGAGGTCAAGGTATTTCATGGTTTCCACGAAGAAGATGAAGGAAACACAGATAAACAAGGTCAAGGTATTTCATGGTGAACCCAACGTGGCGTCATGGCTTCAGCCCTAAGTGCAACAGAACAGATTGCAGCACTACGGGCGTAACTCATGACAGATGAGAACAGGAGTCCAGGAATACATAGCAAACATCAATTCATTTTACACCTTGTTGCAATGAAGTTGTTGAAGTACTACTTTTGAGGCGCATTTCCGTTCCAAAAACCCATATTCAAATAGCGCGCCCTTTTCGTACATCGACACTGTAGGTAAGCCACACAGTGCGTGACTCCATACAGTTCTAATTGCCGCTCCGGACGTAGCGAATCCTCATTCATTCCAAAACCACGGCCAAAGACTCTTTACGGACGTATGGCCTTCCTTCGATTCCGGTTTGGGACTCTCCTCAGTGGAGGCTTGAGTTCTTGCCCATCGTCGAACGCCCTCCTTCTCTTCTTGTGCGGACTCGCGGATGTGAATAACCGACATGACAAATGTCCATTCCTGCTCCTGAGTGATTTCCTCCACTCATCCGGCGCCTCATTGCAACCTTTGAAGAGCCCGTGCAGTTTTTGCCCTCTGCCGTCACATATTCCGAAGCAGGCATTGTTATGGATCTTGGTTGATACCGTTGATACCTGCCTTTCGGAAGTACAAGTATTTCTGGAAGATCCACACGCTCATCGCAGGTATTGTCTGCAACTACGCTGGGTTCTTTTTGAACCCACTTGATTGCACCCCACCGCGCCAAACACGTGACGCGTACAGACCCACGTCCAGAAACGCCTTAAGGTTGCATCGTCCAAGAAATCTCCCATAACCACTGGTCCAGGTTCACCTCGCAGGAAATCTAATCTATCTTTAGAGCGCGGCGGATACATGGTTCACCTCCCGCCTCGCAAAAAACAAAACACAAATTGTTGTGTAGCGAGTTTGTGCCGTGAGGATGCTCCTTCCTATTGGGTGTTACTGGCACGTATTCCTTCTTGGCTTGGGCCCCATCATAGATGGGACAATCTCGATTGCGAAGTGCCTTTGCTTGCCAACAAAGTTGTGGCATTTGACACGTCGAGCGAGGACCAAACTTGAGGATGTAGTCAAAGTCAGTCTCAACTTCTTCATCTCAACTTCCTTGTCTTCGAAAGGGGGGCCACCGCTAGCAGGTTGGAGGCCATCGCTACTAGGTTGGCACTCTTGGAACCTTTGAGAAACACTTGGGATGAGGGCTCGGAGATTGTGAACTGCTGCCCACGCAGGGCCTCAAAGGACAAGTGCAAGATCTCAAGATCTTGCGGCCAACCTTTGGATTTGAATACATCCGTTTTCGTCTGTAGGAGATGCCACAAACGAGTTGACGGAGCGTAGATACCCTGACCTTTTCAGGAAATCCAAAGTGCTTGTGATTGGTCAAATGCATTTCTCGTGATGGCCATTTCACACAGCAAATTTCAAAACAAAAAGGGGCTGGCAAAGGTTGCAAGCCTCACAAGATTCGTTGTCTTCATTATGATCATGGATGACTTCGAAGAAGTGAGGTCACAGGCTGGCTTGAAGTGTCACTTTGGGAGGGTGACGCGGCAAGTCAGCCTGTCGACGATCTCCTTCAGGTCATCATGGGTTAGGTCCTCGCCTGCTACAACCAGTAAAGTATAGACGTGGAACTAGGAAATTGGTAGCAGGAAAGTACTCAGGGGAGCTGCCAGAAATGAAGCACAAAATTCAATTAAGCACAAACTACTTCATTTTGAATGGAATTAATTTATGTAGCAAATTCTGTATAGGGTCTTTCACTGCGGCCTCAAAATATCACATGTTCATGGAAATACACACGCTCACAGCGCTGGCCTCTCATTCCAAATATTCTATCACCTTCCTGAAAACATACCTAGTTCTGGTAGCACTGCTGAGCTCTAGTTCTGACATCCTGCGAGAAAGAAACCTCATGTGACCATCACCGTCATCAGCAATAGTATAGTTACAATATGTTACAATCATCGAGTCATCGTCATCATCATGATCATCCATGACAACGATAGCAGTTCAAATCCTATGAGAGTCTGAAGCCTTACTACTAGGAGCATTCTTACTACTAGTAACAAGAAGCTACTAGCTCTCCTCGGACTCTCCGAATCCAGCGGTCCTTTCCAGGTGTTTGGCCCTCTTTGCAGGAGATGTTGTTGCGATCATTGTCCCAGGCCTCACCTGAATATAGCAAAGAAGTTAAGAAACTTGTTCTGCACGAAACTCACCTGATTCTATGGGCAACTACTGTAGTCCGAAAGCTAGGGTCACAATGTCACAAATCCCCACAAATTGACCAAATCCCTTGATCCCTTGCCGTGGAAGCGCGAGTTTACACCCTCTCCCGTTTACCACTTCTGCCACGCCCGCAGGCCGCAGTCCCCCGTCCCGCAACCCATCTATTCACTACATGCTGCAGTAGGCAGCAAAGCTGGCGGGATAGTCCACTGAGGTGGTTGAGTTCAACTTCACCTTGGGCGCTTGCGTCCTTCGACGGGGAAAAAACTGGTTTCAGCATTCAGGGGAACCAAAAACACACGCGAACAAGGTTATGATAATACAGAGTCATTGCAAGGAGATACAACACGTAGACGTACACTATCAACAGATTCAACTTCAAACAAACCGAGGTGTAAAACCGTAGAGGGGGGGTAGGAGCAAGAAGCTACTAGGAGCAAAGGGCATCGCTACTAGGAGCAAGGACGCTACTAGGGGCTCCTGGCCTTACTACTAGGAACAAGGTTTGCTAGTAACAAGAATTCAATAAGTTAAACAAGCTACTAGGAACAAGTGCATCGCTTCTAGTAACAATAATTCAATTAAAATTCAGACACCAATGCTTCGAGGCACCGTGGTGCTGCCCTCAAGGCCCGAGAGGCCCACGCAAGGGCATTTGGGGTTTCCTTTGGTCGGTTCGCGGTCGCTGAGCTTCGGTCGCTTCTCGTGCAGCTTCGGTCATTGGACATGCATGTTCAGCCACTCGTGGACACTGAGTCGATCAAATCCATCGCGGACCAAGAGCATGGAATCGACAAGTGAGGAACCTAATAGCGAGGGCCTCCAACCTAATAGCAATGGCCTCTAACTTAAGAGCGATGGCCTCCAACCCAATAGCGGTGGCATCCAACCTAAAAGCGAGGGCCTCCAACCTAATAGCAATGGCCTCTAACTTAAGAGCGATGGCCTCCAACCCAATAGCGGTGGCATCCAACCTAATAGCGAGGGCCTCCAACCTAATAGCAATGGCCTCTA